GCTGTCGGCGAGCTTTCAGGAACCTTATGAGCAGTGTTCCTCTAAGAATTATCACATCATGTGAAGCAGAGAGTGACCTCGCCAGTACAACGGTGCTTGTGATGGCTTGAGGAAAGTTTAGTCGACTCAATAGACTCATGATACGGGAGCATCTAGACTACAGTCCACTGTCACTGAAACCACAACCAGGAGGTTTTTTTGTTTACTGGCTCCTTGCAAAGATACTATGAAAGATGTGTAGTGTCTTCTGTACCGTAAACGGTCAGCTGTTTTTTGCAGCTAGTCAGGGATGCAACCAAAAAACGGTTTAAGCACTGGCGCCATTCTTGTCCTGGTTGGAGCCTCTGTTACAGCGTGCGCCGGATGTACTTTCCGACCACAAGCCAGCCGGGCTTGTGTTGATCATAGAACGCTTGGTCGATCTGTTGAGTGCTTCAAAGCCACACACTGAGTTGCTCCAGGCTGAGGTGCACTTTGGTGACACAAACCTAGAAACGGTATTTGTAAACTTTGGTGCAAGTAGCCTCGGCCTCAACACGAGTACATTTTAGGTATGATAACTGAGGGCATGTCTTTGGAAACTTGTGGGGTGACCAAGTACGCGGAAGACACAATATAGGGTAGAAGGAAAAGCCTATCAAACACAATGTCTCAACACAGTGTGCAAAACAAAAGCAAAGATTCTCAAAAATGCAAACAACTTTGGCTAGTAACCATACACACCATGTGAGATAGATTTGTGAAGGACAGGTTGACTGATACGTTTGGAATATCTATGAAAAGACTCCTTGTAGCAGGGACACCCAGTAGCTAGGTTACTTTGGTTCTGAGTCATGAGTTTGCCGCAGTGGAGGGAATTTCAGTGGCTCTAAAAGTCAGCCTATCTTGGATGTGAAGCACACGTGATCATCAACTACTTTCGAGTCCAGTTCATCTTTCGAGCATCACGGCTTTTTGTATTCACTTGTCTAACACTTTTTTATGCGAACATGCTTCATTACTGTGAGTAAAACCAAATATAGCCACTTATCAGAACCGTTTGATGGTTTACAGAATTCTCACATAGGCACTTATCATGGTGGAAATCTCCGAGCCCAACAGTTAAGAGACGTGCGTCCCAACACAGTCGTTTTTTGTACTTGCAGCAGTTTGAAAACGGAAGTTGAGTTTATTCTCGACTTCTTCCGTGTCCCTCATACTAAAAGATTTCAACCGGAATTGAATGTTTCAAAATCCCCTAGGCACACTGATGCTAATAGTAAAAATCAAGTAGTCCTCGCTAGCTAAAGCATGTCTCTACCAAAAAGGCAATTCCTAACTGCGGCTCTCATGATACATTTTCTGTTTATCTGGTGTATTTGGTTCAAGGTGTGTGTGTGTGTGGGGGGGGTAGATCTAAGTTCTCCAGGCACTTGAATGGTGGTTGCCGAGATCTTGTGGGTTATTTGTCCCTTTTCTCCGGTAAACGCATAACCAACGTGCCTGATCTGGGCAAATATGTTGGCAGAGTATGATTTGCAAGTTAAATCGGTGATCGATGGTATCATATTCAGGAATTCGCCCTTATAATTCACTTGTACTATTCTTCCACCAAACTTTCTGTACGATTCAAGATAACTAAAGTGTTTCGATACTGTTTGTACCATCGATGAAGACCGTTAACAGCCCACCACCGGTTTCGCGATTTCCTGGCGCTAAATAGGTGGGTCCAGTCCCTCAATCTCCATCAACCGTATTTCAGTTGAACAACAAAGTGTACATCTCGGCTGAGTATCCCTGAAGATTAGTTTATGTTGTGGCTAGGTTTTAACGCAAGGCAAGTAAGAATTAAGTACAAGATTGACGAAAATTCTGGGGCCAGGCTCACGTAAAGAACCACAAGAAGGCAAGAACAGATGTTTAGTTGTCCGGAGTGTTCTTCGACCCTGTGGGTAAGATTAAAATTTTAGTCGACATTTTGGTGGTATTCATCCCTTATCACTGCACAGTGATGTAAGTAGAACTCAGGTTTACCGCCAATGATGGACATATGGTGCTACTGAGGTATATTGCACGCAATGCCACTATATTCACCCGTTATTTTCTATACATTTCCTCTACCTCTTAGCTTACAATTTTAGAGGCCTGAAGTGTGCTCATCGTCATCATCACCAACATCATCATCATCATCCGAATCATCATCATCATCATCATCATCATCATCCTCATCCTCATCATCATCATCATCATCATCATCATCCTCATCCTCATCCTCATCATCATCATCATCATCATCATCATCCTCATCCTCATCCTCATCATCATCATCATCATCATCATCATCCTCATCCTCATCCTCATCATCATCATCATCATCATCATCATCCTCATCCTCATCCTCATCATCATCATCATCATCATCATCATCGGCACTATGGATGCAAAATCTCTTCAATAGGGTTGCACAGGAAAGTATGATTGGTGCAGTTTCAGTCAACACAGTCACATCTGCTGTGCACCCGATCGTGAGTGCTGCTCACCAGCAGTCTGTGATCCTCCGATGGTCTAATCGATAATTCGGCTGAATCAGCACTACACTGTTGTTGCAACCTGAATGCAAAATAACATAGAAAGACAAACGAATGCGACGGATTGCGAGGGAAATCAGATAGATAAAAATTTAACTTCCCATATGTTTCTTGTTAATCCATCACACTCAAAAGAAAAGAGGAAACTGATGGAAGATGCCAGTAAATGTGCCTGGGGGGGGGGGCAGGAAAAAGGTGATTGAGGAAGCTGAGAAGAGGCTTCCAGATGTTGTATGTAACCAGAGAGTGGGTGTGTCAAATATTCTAACCTAAATGTTATTTAAAATGGTAGAGAAGTAATACTGTTTCGGGTTTAAAGTCGATCCAAACTCATGAAAATCTGTGAAAGATTGAGTTTGTTGCAATTGGACACACCTTTGGGGGAAAAGAGTAATTGGTTATGAGGAACAGTATAACTTGGATTGATGTCTGTTTGGCTAGATCATACCAGTTTGGTCATCCAGTCTCAGAAGTGCGTGGTCAATGTTTCTAAGGTAGGACAGAAGGTGTTTATGAATGGCGGATGGCCCTACGTTTTTTCAAAGGCTGTTTTTAGGACACTGGCAAAGATAAAAAACGTTCTAGTCCGCTGGAACCCTGCCTCCGATTGAATACAACTTGAATGAGATCAGTAAACAAGTTGACCACATAAACACTGCAGCAATAAAGCTGGTATTCAAACTATATCTGGACTAGATTTTCTAGAGCAGCTTGAATCAAGCCACGTGAACGATGCCAAAAGGACATCCCTCAGTACTGGAACTCTAAAAAACAAAGTCGCCACTCCTGCAGACATGATAGTAAGTTCGAGATGGGCCATCACTTTAGACTGCGATACCACCTCAAAAATGTGTATGTACAAGGTTTTCGTGACTTGATCCTTTCAAAATCGGCTGTTTCCGAAATTTGCCTCACTCTTTGACACCCGAATATACCTTTGTCTCATCCTTTGCATGACATATTTACTGTCTGTGCAGGAGATATATATTCAATTAAGACAGACTACACGAACAGTGCGATTGAAGTGTATGACGTGATTAAGTCCCTCATCAGGTCTCCTCACAGAAGTACAACGGCCCCATTCTCCACTGATTCCCGAACAAATGGCAAGATGTCCCAACTGTTAAGGCCTAAGGTTTTTGTGACATAACAAGGAATCACCTTCAAAGCGTTGAGCAAACTTTTTGAGAGTCACGTTCAGCTTGATTCTAGTCCTGACAGTAACGTAGTTTGCGATTGCTCAATTGAATCCTGCAAGATTTTTAGAAGAGTAAAACATGTCTGATACAATGGTGATGGTTGGAAGTTCCAACCTGCCGAATGAAGTAATTGAATCAGTTGAAACGAATGGGCTAGTCAAAATGTGTTTCCATTTCGCCAACGCGGTGAGTACGCTGTTACCAAATTTACTAAAACGTACTCGAGGTGATGATTCGAGTTGATCTTGGCCACATGATTTTGGTGCGTTTGGACGACACGAGAAAAGCTCATCTGTTGCAAAGATTCACATAACACTCGTTTGAAAATTTTTCTACCCTTCCAGATTTAATTACTCCGGTGATTCCACACTCGACTCAAGCTTGCTCTTATTAGAACTGATCAACAGTGCATAACTTTAACTGTACCGCGTCTTAAACATCCGACACTTGTTCGGGTGGTCCTGACAGTCAGTCAACGCCATCAGGATAGCTATTGAGTTCTCGCTCGAGCCGTCGGGCAAACCAATCACACTGCTCAAGCGCGAACATATAATCTAGATGCCTCCAGCGTGGGCTGGCACAGTAGCGGCAATACGCTGCCCCACATGTCGGATATCCAGAGTTCAAATTCCGGCACGATCGCGGATATGGGCTGCTGATGAGCTGCTATAGGTGACCAGTGATGAAGGAAAAAAAGATCGACAGATTGCGCATCAAACATCCACCTCAGCAACGTAACTAAGAACTGTAGGGTATCACCAGACCTCAGGTATGTTACTTTGCCACCGATGGGCTTTTCGAACTAAATGATCTTCGCTACGACCTTCCAACTAATATGGTGACCTCAAGGCAGCTAACTGACTGTCAAAATGCCAGCCTCTGATAATCCCTTTGAGTGGTCTGCATTAGACCGAAGTGCTATTGGTGAGCTCCTTTCCCTGAGCTCCCGGTTCCAGGCCCCTCTGGTAGTTTAGCTCAACACCTCTAACTGATGGAGCAGCAATCCACAATAATAATGGATGATGCTAGTCTTAACTAGGTTCCGAGCAGTTTGCATTTTATTAATCTGTCTGACTCTCCGAAACTGAGCGTGGAAAACTTAGTTTCCCTGAAGTGACCCTTTGAAACCAGAATGCACTCACTTGCCATAAATGAAGTTTCATACCAGGCTGCTTCTGAAACAACAAAAGACCAACCGGCCAGAACAGCACATTTGATATCATGGAACTTGGTCTTAACTATCCACAGAAAGTGTAGGGATAGAGTTGTCTTCGGCTGGTGTTTGATTTTGCGGTACTACTTGTGCGGTGCCATTAGTGTAACCAACTTCCGTAGAAGCTGTTGGCAAAGTAGCCTGTACGGGCGTTAGCAGAGGACTTGTCAGCGGGTTGGACATGGTTGACACTGGGTTAGGTTGTTGTGTGGGGACCAGTGGGATCATGGGAGGTGGATCAACCTTTTGAGCTCCGACCATGAATTGTCTTTGACCCAGTCGGATTGAGAATCCCGTTGTGTTTTGCCGGCCACGAGCACGCGCTAATTCGTACTCTACTTGCAGAGCAGCTTGATTCAAAGTACAGGAATAACAGCAACAATAGGCACATAAGTCACAACAAGGATTACCGCGTATATTGAAGGTCCTGCGAACACGTCCCCGCACTATGCAACCAAGCAGACAATGACAAGGCCATTGAAATGTGGCCAAAGTGCAGAGAGAAGCGAAGCAGCACCAGGAGTAAGAGTATCCAACATCTTCTGCTACGCTAGCCATTACTGCCCATGGACACAAACAGGACAGAGCAAAAGTTCCAAAGTCTGGGAGATCCCAAAGTTGGTTTTCCCATTCTTTCTGTCCGGTGATTGGGTGAACATTCGTCGGTTGCGTTGTAATAACTCCATTAGTGGGCACATTCTGCCAAGCTGGCTGCATGGGTACTTTATCGCGAAGATGGATGGGGCGATAAAGAAAAACAGAAAAGTAGCTTTTTAACCAAAGTTTGACGGAGGCCCGTTAGAAGGCTCCGATAATGTTGTGAGTACGGTGGTTTATGAGTGAACTTTACTGCACGCAATTTACAACTGACTGGAAAAACAAAACCACTCTGACCAGTGAGAAGATCTCACCGGAACAAAACTCGAATGTATTGATTGATTCTTTTTTGATCAATAGTGCAACGCGATTACTAGATCAATCAATACGCATGCGCGTATCTGGCAGACTGTGTTAAATTAGAGGCATTCATTTTTAGAAGAGAGAAAACTTTAAATTTGACTTTAAGTTACAATCTTCTCCACTTCTACTGGAATTTCGAAGATTTTTCGGGACAGTCTCCCGAAGAACCAGTTTCCGGAAATTGCTCCAGAAGTCTTCATGAAAGTGTGAGCCAACCACCGTCATTTGAATTGAAATAGAGTTTACAGCTTGTGTGTGCCTTCTGGATCACAGACCCTTTAGAAATAATGCTAAAGAACACTAACGACAGGGAAAAGTTGAGTTTCGCGTACTGTGGATAAAAAATCTTCATGGCTTACTTTCTTGGATGACCAGTCGGGACCGGCCCCATCTCACTCCTGTTCCGACCGTCAGAGTATCCTTTTCCAGAATTCGAGTATCAGTCCTCATGTCATAAACTTCCCCTTCGTCAACTTCCCTTCTGCTGTTTTCCCTCTAACATGTGACATTCTTCGATGTTATTGGCTGTGAACAAGTGCACTTACCAGCCCACTACAAATTGATGCGAATACAGTACTGTCTCTCAGAAGAATGCTTCCGAAGACAAGGCGAAATGGCCAGATCCCAACTCTGCCTGCAATAAGAGAGAAAAAGGCGATTTCCCAAACGGGATGCCACCATGGACCGTCGTTCAGATAAAAAGCTTTTTCGTATGCAATCATCATACTATGGTGGAAAATGAGACCTTTTGTTATTAGATGCGAAGGACTTAGTTAATAATAGAGCAGTGGGAATCAAGTCACTTCGCCAATGGCGAAAAACTGTCTGTCGTGAAATAAAACAAAAACTACCAAGGTCATATGGAGAAAACGTTCTATCCTCCACTTGCCACTTTCACAAGTACCGTATGTATGTGTGCCGATGGAGATTCAGTCGGAATTAATGGCCCTTTTTGCGCTATCCGTTTTCAAAGGTGGAGTTGTTCCTCACCCGACCCCGAAATGCAGACATCAATGAATTTTTCCCAAAGCGACTTTAAAGAATGTTCAATTTTATGGTCGGCTTTTGTTGTAAAAGCAGCGCTATTATGATAGAATTCGCTGATACATCTGCTGGTTATATGGCATGACTGAATTGAGCGTCAGGATAATCAATAATACAACAAAATAATGTTACAACGTAACCCGCTACTCATAAGGTTGTTTGGCAGGCCACGACCCGTTTAGAGTTCATCAAGTTGGCGGAGTCCTCAAGTTTCCCTCAGTCTTATGTTCCACTTGAATCTGAATTGCACAAAATTAGCGAACCACCTTCAGTAGTTATACCAACGTGGTTTTCACGGTAGGCCAAAATTAGTCTCTGGTTTTTGGTGTTCTTCGACTGAACGCGCCATACCAGTCGTTACCATACGCCAGTACTGAAATACTCGGTATACACACAACACGCTACTTCAGTGTATTGCGATACTGGCGCATTGTATCAAATAAAACATGCTGCGGCCTAATGCTGTGCATTCAGTTGGGGAAGGATATCATAAGCCCGAGATTCATTCTGGTATCGCATGAAAACCAAATTGGTATTCCGCTGGAAACAACGTAATGTTATCAATTCTAAGTATGTGATGTAAGGAGATACAAAAAGAGGACAAAAATAACGGCACGTGAAGAGTTTTTCACCAGCCGACAAGCGGAAAAGGATCACGGCTGTCATCACCGACTGCTTAAAGCTGATGTTGCGCTGTCATACGAAGGACACTGTAGATGTTGCCACTTTTTCATCAAGTATACGGTTACAATGGGTTTTGAGTGATGTGGCATAAGGATACTAATATTCAAGAACAAGCAAGAGATGTGCAAATCTTTGGTCCCTTCTATAGTAGGCCTGCCACCACGGCAAGAACACTCTTATGCTACCGCTTGTTGTTGAGAAATCACACAAATTCTCAAGTGATGACGTCTGACGTTTAACTTTCTCTTCTGCCGGCAACATTAGCTGTGACAAGTATTATCTTAGCCATACTGTCCCACTAATTAAATTCAAGAAAATGTAGATCAAACAGAGAAGTGTGCCTTAGTGTACACCAATGAAAGGGCAAGCTACAAAGCTATTTGAACAGTCCCCCCGTATTAGGAAACTATTTCAAAACACTCTAAGCAAGGATCAATATTTCACTTTGTTTTACTGTATCGTTAGCTTTTATGTCGATCGGGGCGGGCGACGGTGTAGCGAGAACCATGGCAAGCTACAAAGCTATTTGAACAGTCCCACCGCGTTAGGGAACTATTTCAAAACAATCTAAACGAGAATCACCGTCTGACTGTGTTTCCCTGTATCGTTCGTTTTTTGTCGATCGGGCGGGCGACGGTGTAGCCAGAACCAGACCCTGATAGTTCACAGCAGAATTTATGAAGAAGGGTGTACTGTTGCTACCGTATAGTCCAATTTATGAAGAAGGGTGTACTGTTGCTACTGTATAGTCTAACAATGATTAGAAATGAGATGACGTCATGGCACTTGTGGATTCTAAAATTGTGAGTGCCCGCCTGACTAGCAAAGCAGTTTTATTGAATGTATGTCAAAGCCTCTTAAAAGTGACCCATGACGAATACGATCACCACTGGAGTGGAGGTTTTTACTGTGGGGTGTGTGTTGCAGTGGAGTATCAACAAACGTTTTTCAACTTTTCACAGCAGTCAGATCTAGTATATACATTTTCGGGGGAAATCCGCCCAAAAAAGTCTGATCAAATTTTGATTCAAGCAGAACACAAGGTTGATGGAATCTCCGCTACTGCGCCTACCTCAGGAAGGGCAAAACCGGTCTTGGGCTATTGAAGAGTTCCCAGTGTCCACTGGAAAATTAGAAAAAACACCTGACTGTTGGCATGTGAAAATACAGAGGGTAGAATGATGTACCATTCTAAGATAAGTTTACTTTTTGCTCAAGCTATCAGAGTGGATAATTTGTTATGTTCTATTTTTCGGGAGAAAACAGGTATTCGTCCAGTACTAACGAAAGATTCACCTGCATGAATAGCATTCCCTCTAAAATTTAATTTATATCAGGGACTGATTGTGGATATTGAAATTTTTCACTGAGTTTGTTACGTCTTCAATCTGTTTCTACTACTGAAATCATTATTGGATATGCAAATGGGTGAGGAACGAAGGCTTCAAATTACTCAGCGTCAAATCGATTTTAGTATACCATAGACGAAAGGATGGGTGGGGGAATCAATTAGTCAATTTTGACCTGATGCTTCCGAATAGCTATCACCGGTTCACGTGATTGACTGAACTAGCTCAATGCCCACTGAGCAGCTCATCACAACTCCGGCCTCATCGATCCTTTGCGCCTTGAACGTGCTGTCCACATTCGAACGGTCTAACGGGTTAGCTCATTGTGGCATTAGATAAGAGCACAGAGAATAGCGAGTAGTTTTGGTCGCATAGAGAGAAAAATTACAGCTGGTTGGGACGGAGAATCTTGACTGATGCATCTGACAATCTGGTTTGCCCAGTGATGAGATCGATATATGTCAAGTTTACATGTAACAGATAGCCTTTTCACACACTTTTCACAAAAGTTTACTACCCAAATGCACGTAGAAGCGAGATCTCAGTACTTCACTGCAGCCATGGAAGGCTCGTAACTAACAGATAGCCTTTTCACACACTTTTCACAAAAGTTTACTACCCAAATGCACGTAGAAGCGAGATCTCAGTACTTCACTGCAGCCATGGAAGGCTCATGTCCTTCGTACGTCACTTGACTGCTTTTCGAGATTGTTTTTTAGTGAAGCACCCAACAGAGGGTCACAGAAAGATCCTTGACTTCTGCAAGAGCTGAATAAATCATCGCTTTCAATGGTCCCATTCCCCTAATGTAGCACCACTGAGTTGTGCAAAGTGAATGTATGCTCAGGGTGTGTCCAACACCCATTATTGACAGCCCTTTCAGTGTCCGTCCTTGAGTATTTGACTAAATATCTAGACCACGTAGATAAGCCAGTGACAATCAACTCGAATCCCGCACAAGAGTGACTTTATTTGGGTGTACGCCGAAAAACCTTCGAAATTTGTGGAGGCTACTACTGTAGAGAGCTTCAAACCTTGCTGATTTGCACTAAAGACACTGTTTTATTCGTCCAAGCTTCTCGCGGCCAACGGACGTTCTTTATTCGCATATATGCTTGGTGAATGCATTTCCGATGAACATCTATACCGTTTTCTGGTTTTTCTTGCTCAGGAAATTAGGACAACAACCAACTATTGCCTACGTTTGGTCCAGCTAACCTGCTTCGTCGCATTATTCGTTTCTAAAGTTTTGGAATGAAAACTATGATCCTTTTGACGCCATCGTACTTTGTAGACGCTTCCCTGAGCGTAAATGAAATATTTACCGCAGTGGTTTTAAATCGTCCTACCGAAGTAGAGGTGTTTCTCTGATGATGTATCCATGTTGCATGTCCCAGTTAACAACGGTGTACCGGCCGACCTACATTTCTAATGGTTTCTGCCTCCATCTGGCATTCGGAGGCTAAGAGATTCCCGTATGATCGTTTTATCAGCTAAACACCCAAACTAATGTCTGCCGAAGCCTCTGACATATTTCAAAGAGTTTGAACAGGTCTCAGTAGGCTACGAGCGTTCTTTTACATATCTAATCTAAAGATGGAGTTTCTACAGAAATTGATAATTTGCACACTTTGTTAGGCAGGACTCCTCTGTTGGCCCCCGACATGACGTTACAAGTGTTTGTTTCCATAAGAGGTATGGTCAGAAATTCTGAGATTTTTCCAAGCATACCGATAAGATGGTCTCAACAATTAATGGTCTAGTCCTTCCTATTAGGAGGTCGTTTGAAATAAGCTCATTTGTGTGACAAACACTAGAGGTACACTGGGAGTAGGCGCATTAAGAATAGGGCTGTTCACGTTGTTTAGAGGCAATAATTATACTGCTCAGCAAACCTCCTAAAAACCTTGTTCAGACCGGAAGCGTGAGTAGAAAACTGGGAAATGCTAAAGGCTGTAAAGGTCTAAAATTCACCCGGAAAGTCGGGGGGGGGGGACCAA